TGCTCTGTTTACGGGCCGGTCTTTCATGGTTCGAGAAATCAATGCTTAATGTGCTTCTAGTGAAGTTAATCCTGCTAAAAATATGCCTTAGTGAAAAGCTAACGGATTTATTTGGGAGTTTCCTGTATTCTACACATTGAGATGACTTTCTTCTGGTTCATTTTCTCACAGCTAACTGTCTTATATTCTTTTTGTTTCTATTTATATGATAAGGTTGTCACACAAATTGTTTAACATATATTTCTTGGGACATTCCCTAGGTATTTTCATCTGGCAAAAATGGGTGAACCTCAGCAAGTGAGTGCCCTTCCTCCGCCTCCAATGCAATATATAAAAGAATATACTGATGAAAATGTCCGTAAAGGCCTGGCTCCAAAGCCACCTCCACCTGTGAAAGACAGTTATATGATGTTTGGTAATCAGTTTCAATGTGATGATCTGATTATTCGACCCTTGGAGAGCCAGGGTATTGAACGGTTACATCCTATGCAGTTTGATCACAAGAAGGAATTACGAAAACTTAATATGTCTATTCTGGTCAACTTTTTGGACCTCTTGGATATCTTGATAAGGAGTCCAGGGAGTATAAAGCGAGAGGAGAAACTGGAAGACTTGAAACTGCTCTTTGTTCATGTCCATCATCTTATAAATGAGTATCGACCTCACCAAGCTAGGGAGACTCTGCGAGTCATGATGGAGGTGCAGAAACGTCAGCGTTTGGAAACAGCAGAGCGATTTCAGAAGCACTTAGAGCGAGTTGTAGAGATGATTCAGAACTGCCTGGCTTCCTTGCCTGATGATCTGCCTCATTCAGAGGGAGGAATGGGAGTGAAAGCAGAAACAATGGATCCTGAAGATGGCAGCAACTGTATTGGACAGAGTGAAAAACAGAGAGAGCATGCTGGTGGCAAAAGAGATCAGGTTTTAGACAAAGACGCAGCTATGTGTAGCATTATCGATGAAATGACTTGAAGAAAATGCTTTTTTATTTTGTTAGCTTGCTGTAGTGAGAGGCAGAATGCATTCTGAGGGTATATATTGTATTTGTTTTGCTGTTGTACACGCAGACAAAGCATTTATTGTACACCTGTTGGAAGTTGTGAGTGACTAGGCACATGAAAATGTTTAATATGTTGCAAGCTGTGTGTTTATTGGTAGAAATAAAAAAACCTTTTTGTTAAATGTATCATGTGAGGTGCAAGCCAGAGATTTAAGTTAGTTTTTTCCATTGTACTTTCATTTGTTCTTTTCTGCTTTTTGGGGTATGCTTTTTTTTTTTTTTCTTTGTAGTGTGGAAGAAAGTAAGGGATCTGACTGAGAGGAATTGCAGTTGACAGTTCCTGTGTTTCAAATAAGTGCTAGTTGTTTACAATTTCAGTGGGTTGTTTCAGGTATGCATAATTCAATATTAAAAACAAAGTTAGTGTCAAGTCTGCAAAATCTGTTCCTTTTGTAGCTTTGTAATAATATAACTGTAGTAAAGACAACCTAAGCATTCCTTTATTACAGATGTAATTTGCTTTATGGAGACACGCTGTCAGGAATCTCAACAACTAAATGAATTAAAATTAATTGGATTTTAATTTTCTTACATGTACATCATAACCAGTCTTGAACTTGCAAAAATGCCTACTTTTTTTTTTAAACACATAAATGCATAGACTAACTTATATGTCCTGCATAGTTAATATACATGCATGAAGTGAATCATTTTGCAGTGCAGATGCTTTGTATTTGCCTTTTGGGTTGGGCTCTGTGCCTAGTTGAGTGGTTTTTCTCAGGAAGAAGAGTCTGATTGGTTAATTAGCCTTCATAGTAATTGTGAACTTCTAAGTTTGAAAGAACCTGCAGGTATTCCATCATGTGGAAGCTTTATCAACCATGTTTAAAGAACATATGAGTTGGATCAACCCCCCAATAGCAAGAGAAAAAGAGTGATTTGATAGCGAAGTGGCTTCTTTACCCTGCCCCTCCTGTTAGGGAAGCCCTACTTGCATCTTTTTGCCATGTGGCACCGTAGTAAAGTATGTACAGCAGCTAAAAAACAGGTGAACGTTATGGGTGAGGGAGCTCACATAAACTCTGTTTTTAACCATGATTTGATGCGAGTTTATGACTCATTGGAGGACATCATCTGCTATTTTAAGTGCACGTAAGTGTAAGTAACGAGAAGTAGAAATGCTTTTTTAGAAATGTATAAATAATTTTACAAAGTTAACACATTTGTCCTTTATTCAACCACCACTGTTTTCTTCCTTCTCCCTGGACTACATCTAAATTATATTGCTTGTAGTTAACTAAAGCGGTTGCAAGTGTGCGGAATTAATTTGGTATCTGTTTTGCAAATGTTGTTTCATGTGGAAGATATGAAGAAATACTTAGTGCCTCCTGGGTAAGAGAGGTTATGCACTGTGGAACTACAGTTTGTCATGGATGTTTTAACTTTGCCATTCAAAAAGAACTGTCATAAATGCTTAGTGGTTTTCTGTTGATTTTTGTCTAATTTCTATGCTTTTAATAAAGTCATATGCCTGGTACCATAGTTTCAAAATACTGCACAAGCTGGGTCCTAGCAGTAACTAACAATTGCAATGAACTCTTATGAAACCATTGAGGTAAACAGGGATCATGTAATTTAAAAAATACTTAAGGGTGCTTTCACCTTCCAAAAAGTTTCACAAACAATTTGTTTATTCTAGATTTTTTTTTTTTTTTTTTTAAATCTGTTTAAGGCAAACCCTTAGAAAACCATGGGAGGCTTCCTGGGCTTTTTTCAGCCAAAACATTGACTTTGTCCTCTGTTGTCAGGTCAAAGCAATGATAGTTTTCCCTTTTTCTGTTACAGCTTTGCTTTTGGGAAAACAATGGACTGTGGCTGCAGTGAAGGCAGTGGGTGGCATATATGCCCATTAGTCTAGGGAAATGGGCATTTTTCATTTCATAGGATGGTGTGACTCACTGACTAGCAAATTTGATTATAAATGTCTTCTCTAGTGTGTTAATTAACCTGCTCCTGATGATGAGATCTTTCCTTATTGCAGCAAATCCTGATTTTATTTTTGGATGTGATAGCATTTGAAGTATTCTGCCCTTGAAATGTTAATGTATACAATATATGTTGGATTATATATACCTTACAAAACTTGATGAGATAAAGTTAACATCAGGAGTTAAGCAGCATTTTGTTGGATGTTTTCTTAATTTAAAAAAAAAAAAGGAAGGAAAATAGAAAAACTTAGCCCTTCTATTACACTATCGGAACAAGCACACAGATAACAGAAGTACAGTTACTTGAAAAGTTCCAAAAGTTTCTTGATACAGAGAAGCCAAGTGTGTCACCAGTGGACAAGAGGGGAAAGTTTGTAGCTCTGATCATTAGGGGGAAAAAGAAGAAAAACTATTTAATGATGTGACTTCAAAATAGTGCAATGAAGAGATGTTTCCAACAATGCTTTAAATTTATTTCAATATTTAATGGTTTGGTTTTATTTTCACAAAGTATGTTCTAACTGTGTGCTCTGTGTCAAGAAAAAATGTTCAGCTACTGTAAGGGCTGCATGAAAAAGCTGGCATTGGCACCTTCTCTACAGAAATGGTGCTCATTTCTCGCACAAATGAAAAACAGGAGCTTGGAAAACAGGCATGTAGAAACTCAGAAATTATATCAAGGCATTCCATATGATCTGTGTGTGAGATGAAATCCAAAGCAAGTGGGTTAACTATTGCCCTGTAGCTCTCAGTCTCTTATTATGTGACTGGAACAGCTTTCCTGGGGATAGAGCCAGCAGACAGCACCAGAACTACAGTAAATTACTGTATGAACGTGGATGAAGTGAGTAGAATGGGCTCAGGCAGAGCTCTGGGATAACAGTTTCCTTATTTCCTTATCCTATTTTTTAATTTCAGAGCTCAGATGTGGCCTATGCAGAGGAAGAATCCATGTGGACCTGTGCGCACTGCATGTTATTGCAGGTAAGTGGCAGAAGGGACATGTCCTGCTCTGCAGGTGGATGTTTGTCACACGCTGATCCACAAAGAGGAGTTCATCAGCCGGTGCGATGCACTATCATGGCATGGCACGCCTTCTGCCAGAGCCAGGTTGCCCTGCCTTTTTCATTTGTGCAGAGCAGTTTCAGGATCCTGCTGTTAATGATCAGAATTGTTCCTGTAGCAGCTGTCTGCAATTTCCTGTTTCCCCAGAAACCAGAAGAGGAAAGAAGCATTTTCTTAAGACTCCTGATTCCAGCCACTGCATACAAAAATCCCCCTTTCTCCCTCCTTCTCTCAGCTCCTTCCTACAGGTATATTGCTAGTGTTTGTCTCTTGGCTACTTTAATCTCTTGTTTTTCCTCCTTTTCAATTAAAGAAACTGTCACTTCAGTGACTCTGCTCTCATGTAAGGTAGTCAGTGTCAGCTCTGTTGGTTCTGATTCTAGCCTAATGTATGTTTTTGGGGGTGTTTTTGGAAGTATTTCTGCTGTTTCAGTTGTTGATAAACAGTAACTCCTTACAGCTTAATTTTATTTATATAAAACAGTGAGAAGTAAATTAGTTATTTCAGCAAAGAACATTTGTTGGCCCTAGATCACATACACTTGATCACAGGTGCAGTTCTAGTCCAAACAATATGAAAAGACAAGATGTCCTGTAATTCAGGGACAGGGAGAGCGGCCAGGGAACACCATTTCTCACAGCTGTATTTCAGCAATATTTTGTCAAAGTGAGCCTTGAGCCTGGGATGACATGGTTTCCACACTACTTTTAAAATGACCTCTGTATTCTGTGTGTGTTACTTTATATTGCAAAAGCCCAGATGCATGCAGAATTTTTGAGTCAGATGATAAGAGACTGCAGCTCTGTTAGGCTACAACTGTGTAACAGTAGGGCAGCTGTGCAATAGTACCAAATTATAGCCTACAAAGAAAATTGCATTTGCCTAAAGATGCTCTGAGTTGCTTCTAAGTATTAGAACCAGAAACTTATGACTAAATGCTTGAGTACTTCCTTTTGCCAAGTCCTGTTTACCATAGTCTGTTACATATCCTATGTAATCTCTTATCCAAATTCTGTCTACTATGGCAAAAAAAGGTGTGGGAAGCAGTAGGGGGCAATGGATTACCAGTAGTTGTGTCAGCTCAGTCATGCTGATAACAGTTTCATCTACTGTAATCAAGCAGGTCTGGAAAAAACGAGAAGTGGATTTCTGAAATGCTGCAAAGTATTTTAGCCTTTTGGTCAAACCGCAGTCAGCAAGCGTTCAGCTGTGTGCACTGTTGGCAGCAGCGCTTGGCTGTGCTGCTAGAAACTAACAGACTAACCACAGGAAAGGCAATCCGGATTAGACTGAAGGGCATTCTCAGCTGTGTCTCAAGATGACGTACTAAGAAGTAAAACCAGAAGTTTACAAAGAAGATAAGTTTTCTTGAATGTAGGTGCCCAAAGGGTGAACAGGAGTGTTGTTCCTCGTCTTCAGCCACAATGTCGTCTTATTTCTGCATGAGCTGGATTCTTCTGATCCTCTTTACAGGTAACTAAGTGGGCCTAAGCATATAGGTGGAGGTGGATGGAAGTAATCGATGTTTCTGAGGGTTGCAAAGAGAGATTTTATGTTACAACGGGAAGAGAGGCCACATGGCACAGAAACTGCTGTTTTGTGTTACGAATAGAACTTTATCACAGTGGCTCAATAGTCTTCTGATGGCCTTATCTCCTTTTTAAAACAGTCATGTTGAAGGTATGATGGCTTTAAAGACACTGCTTTTTGGGCTGTCTGTAGTCTTATTAATGAATGATCTTTTGGGGTTTTTAGATAATGATCTGAGATGAGCAGAGAACTTTAAATCATTTTAGAAAAGATGTAAAAAAAGGATATTTCACTTCAACAGGCTTCATGAAGGTGAATGCTTCGGAAGACAGGGAAAAGGGCAACTGTGGCTTCTGGTGTTTTCTAGCCAATATGTAATTTTATTGGGACAAATCGATAATTTCTTCTTTTTATTCTGAGAAAGCAGTCCTCCTGGGAAAACATTGTTAAAGGCAATAGCACTGGAAACAACAGGTTGCAGAGTGGTACTAGTATAGGTAGATAGACATTAAAAATCTGGTGGTAGAATATGTTCAGTAGAAAGAAAAGGGATATCACAGATATTATATGCTCTAGTTTTTTATAAAGCCTTTTATGATGAGATTCATTTAAAGCTTGTTTTTTTATATTAAATAAAATACATTATTTTCAGAGATTAGTTTCTAGTATGCTATTGTGGCAAAGCCTCTGAATGCAGACATTTTTAACTATAATAGGTTAGGCGAATGACTGAGCTGAGCTGGGGAAAACAGCTTTTTCACAAGGGACAAATGCAATCAAACCATACAGTGCCTGGGATCCACCGGTGCGTGTTGTCAGACCTGCCTTGGGGAGCTCCATTCCCAATTATAGACTGGGCTAGACTTTTAATAGAGATAATTTGTTGCCTGTACTTGCTGCAGAGAATTCTATCCCTGAAATGTTAATATGGATAGATCAAAATACTTGTGCATGTGATCCCATGTTACGGAATTTGAAAAGCAATGTGTAGTGGTAAGTAAAGGGCAAATAGTTTTCTTTGAAGTACAAGCAGAGAGAATGTGTGCTTCAGGGCCCTACTGTGTAACCTGTTAGACAAAAGTTATAGACAGGATGTCTATGACTGGATCACCAGAGCACAAGTGATTTTGGCTGCCATTTAATACAGCTTTTATTAAAACCTCCTAAAGGGAATATTGACTGGAGTGGTCTACATACAGCAAAATAAACTATTTCACTGTGATGAATGGGCTACTGGCTGCTAGGTCTCGCTCTTTGGACTTGAAGAGCGTGACACAGCCTTCTAGAAATTTGAAAAATGACTTTTAATGGGAACCAAACAAGTTAGAAACAGCATAAGAATGAGGGAGGGAAAATAAGGTAGTGAAAAAAAGAGGGTATAAAATTTCTCAGAAAAGCTCTGAAAAATCTCTTCTGATAGAAATAGGCAAAATCTGTCATTAGGTATGAAAAAGGCAAATGCGTTCGGCAGTGATCGCTCTGATGAAACCTGCTGTTTAGTGGCTTTGTTGAAAGGGAGGAAGAGATTCCCCGCAATGGTTTTAATGAAAGTCAGCATCTTACTGTTCCCCCATGTGTGGCTTGGATGAAATCTGAACTAAGGAAAAAAACAAGGAGCTAACAGACCAGATGTGGCTAAAGAGAAGCTGATGAGTTGTGCAGATCCAGCCTCTGTTCTCTCTTCACCTCTCTGCCTACCTGCAGAGGCTGCAGAAAGAGTGCTGCTTCTCTCTCTGGCTAGAGACACGTTCTGAACAAATCACTGGCCCAATCTTTATCCCTCACTGTGTCAGTCCTGCTGGGATTCACACCTCTTTGTGGAAAACCTGTTGTAGCAATGCCTGGCAGTGCAAGATGGGAGGTAGTGGGTCATGCAAGATGCACAAGAAGCTTCTGCTTGCGTGCACTGTGCTCAACAACTGTGTTTGTCTTTTTGTCCACAGGCCCCACGGTATCAGAATCACCTGTGAAAGGGAAGACTGGTCAGAATGTCACTGTGCCCTGCTTTTACAGAGTTGAGAGTAAACAAGACATCACATCAATGTGCTGGGGTCGTAACAGCTGCCCTGTTTCAAAATGTGATCGGACCATTATCTGGACAGATGGATGGCGGGTGACAATGCAGTACAACAGCAGGTATGTGTTGAAAGGGAACCTGTCGACGGGTGACGTGTCCCTCACGATCGTGAACGCCGAGGAAGCAGACAGTGGGATATACTGCTGCCGTGTGGAGATCGCAGGGTTGTTCAATGATCAGAGAACTAATCACAAGGTGGTGATAGAGAAAGGTGAGTGCAGAGGTGCTCTCTTGTGTCAGTACGACTGTGGTAAATCTGCTGTTGAGTCTGGCTTTCAAAGCCAGTGGTGGAAATGATTTCTATAATCATCCATAGGACTGATCTTTAGGACTTTGCAGATCTGCTGTTAGTGCTGTTTAAATTAAGCTCTCTTCGGCATTGTTGTAATCCCAGCGCAGTCACTGCAATTAAAAAAAGGACATGGTGCTTTGTTTTATGGTGCACAGCACTACTGAGCTTTCTCAGAAGCACTATTTGAAGAATTTAGGAGAAAGGGCAGCATAGGTTCCTTAATCCATCTGAAGCGCTATACTTGCACCCGCTTCATAGAAAATGGTACTTCATTTTCCCTGCTTGATTCCAGAGTAAAGCCCAAGGACACAGAATTAATATAGATGACTTTTTTAATCAACTCTTCCTTTGATTTTTAATTTTTCTCTTGTTTGTAAAAAGCATATTACTATGTGGAACAAGTGGCTGACACATGTACTTGTGTAGCTGGTGCTCACAAATTTTTATTATAGAAATGCTTTCTCTTGTTCACTACATAAATGCACACTAAGGTTAATTATAATGTATCTTGGCTTTTTTTTATTTTTTAACATCAGCTAGGATCTCTACCGCAAGTCCTTGCACTTACACCTCTGAACAGACCTCAGGTAACTTTTATCCAAGTATTAATCTCAATAGGTATATAAAATTTATTGCAAATAGGGATCTTAGGAAGGAGACAAAATAATAGATGATAGAAATGTCTTGGCTAAAATTTACTAAACATTACCATAGAGCCGGAGAACAGAACTTGGATTTAAATTCTGCCTGTCATTATATAGAGAGTCCAACGGGAGGAACATGTGTACGTGGGAGGAAGTTTGCTTCCAGGTGTTATGCTTAACTAGATGTTTTATTGGTGCTGCAAGCATTGTTTTTCTTATGGCTGTTGTTTTGGTATGTTGTTTTCTTTGTGGTATAAAATCTCACCTTGTCTTCTGGAAATGCATCCCATGAACAGTAAACCACAAATTTTTAGGAGTTGTGTGTCTCCACTGTTTAATCAATTTATTCGTTGCTCTATAACATAGAACTGTTTTCTTGGGCTAGCTCAAAAGTGCGTCTAATTCAGGATCCTATATCGGTAGCAGTCAACAGCAGATGATTATGGAGGATCGTAGAAACAGGGCAGTAATTTCGTGATACAGTGCCAAAGTATTCTTCTACCCTGGTATACTGTGTGCCTCAGAGGGTGCCCACATCCTCTGTAGCCTAACCATATTTCATAAAGCAAGACCCCTCATTGTTGTGGAAGAGACAGTAAACAACTATTCCTCACTTGGTTTCTCCATTCCACTCACAAGTTTATAGATGTCTATCATATACCCACTCACCTGCATCTTTTTCATTCTGAAAAAGACAACTTTAATTTCCAGTACACAAGAGAGAGCTCATAGTATAACAATAGCTTATTCTCTGGATTTTGAAAGAAAAATCAAGGATGCCATTTGTATTTCTCCCTCCATCTCAGATTTTTCCAGCTAAAGCAACTCTAAAGGGTTACAACAGTTGCATTTCCTTTTTGGAAGAAGAAGTGAAAACTTTCTCAGGCTGTTTCTGTTCTAGTTGAAAATAACATGGCTTCCAATCTTAGAACTCACGGGTTTTCTTAACCGTGTGACGTCTTCCTTAGCTGCTGGTGGAACAATCTGTTAATGTTTTCAGAATACAAGTTAGTATGTGCTGTTCACACAGAGGGAGACTGGGAAAGGCAGGTGGCCATGTGCCTCTGATGTAGGAATACTCCAGCATCTCCAATGGAAGAGAACAGTGAAGCGGATGATCCTGTCCTCTTCAAAATAAAGCTTCTGGGATAAGGGTAACAATTTAAAACATCAAAGGAACCAGCTGGGGTTGTCATAATGTGAACAGGAGATTTTGTTTTCAGGAGGGTTGTATATCATCTGACAACACGTGAAGAAACTGTGACTGATGGTATGGAAGACATAAGTCTGTAGCTCTGAATTTTAAATATTGCAAAGAGCTTTGCTCTGTGAAATTACCTCAAAATATGCTGCAGGTCCTTATGCAAATGTATCACACTTTGGTCAGCCTGTTTACTGTCTGGGACTTTAGAAGTATCACTTTCTCTAACTGCACCACTTGGTCTTTCAAGGCCCTGAGCTAGCCTTAATCTGTTTTCATCAGATAACCTAAGTTTCCTTTAGGCATCCACTGCCTCTTGGCTCCAAAACCAGATGCCTACCTTAGTAACTCCTTCCTTCTAGGCACTGTGTTGAGATAACAGCAAGAGCTAAGTGTTTCCTGGAAGGAATTCAAAGCTCTGAAAAGGACAGCAGAGGCTCCAATATTCAGAGTTTTGTGCTGCCCTCTGAAGGCACCAACCTCTTTGATATGCAGAGCTGAGACTCCTGATAGAGAGACACTTAAGTTTGGTGCTCCCGAGTCAGCAGTACAAATTCCTCTCTGTCAACGCAGAATGGTTCTCTGTGAAAGTAATGTGTTTGTCTTGCCTTTGCTCAGCTCATGGGAACGCCAGTGAATCATCCTTTACCGTCACAAGAACGTGGCCATCAGTTTCTCCTTCGGAAGCTCCTCAGACTGTAAGCATCTCTGTTGTGCTATAGCATACCTAGGCAAAGTGGATAGACATGAGAGGTTATTTGGTCATCCCTGCAGTTCACTGGTACTGCTTTAGTTTGATTGCAAAAGAATTTTTTTTTTTTTAGTATGCATGTTTAGTGCTTATGAAAGACTGCTTATGTGTTCGTGATTGAAGAGGGGGGAAAAAAACCTGCTTTGCATGCATAAAGTACTTAGTAATGCAGGAAGAGGTTTAGCAACATCTATATTGCCTTTCAGGCCTCTGGTCCCTGCTCAAGCACCTCAGACTGCTTGGATGTTACCTCAAGCCGGCAGGTATGGCACGATATGGGGAAGACTTGAAATTGGACCACCTGACAGTACAGGGATGCCCTGCACTCCCCATGCAACGGGGTTCAAACAGGCAGCTCTGTGTCTGTCCTGCTGAGTCCTCCAGCACATATTGCAGGGTGACAGGCAGTAAGATCACCCAAATTTTATCAGGAAGACAAGACAGCCAAGCTAGCCTTTGGGAAGGCCTGCTGTGACATACTACAAGGCAGGATGTGGTCTGGGCATTCATACTGCTGCATGTGCAGAATTTAAGTCAGGGACCATACTGTGCCTCAGTGTCTTTCCAGGCCTGAGTTCCTAATGAGAGGTCAGATATCCAATGGCTGGCTTCAGAATGAAGTTTTGCCTAAATAAACACCAGTGCAAGGAGAAGGCATATTTACTTATTGGTATAAAGCCTTGAATAACTACTGAACAAGCTGACAAAAAGGCAGGAGTGGTAACAAAGGAGATATTTTAATCATAAAAAATACACCAAATAGTATGAAACCTGAACAAATGGTATTTGTCATAACTTCAGATCCTTTGACAATCTCAAAAAATAATGTGTTTAACAGCATGGTTCACACAACTGTTGCAGTGATTTGGCTTGAAACTAGTCCTGTATCTCAAGTCAGGCTCTTGCTCTCAAGTGTACTTTTACTGCAGGGTTGCAAAACACACAGATGGCCTTTGGGTACTGTATGGGCTTCTTGCTCTCAGTGCCACTAACGCTCATCTGTTTTGTGTTTGACAGAACACATCTGTATCGCTTCCCAGTCAGCAGTATTCAGAAAATGGGCTATACATTGGGATTGGTTTATGTGCGGTACTTCTAGCCATCCTTATTTTGGCTCTATTCCTCGCTAGACGTAAGTACTTTTCACAGGGGGTTATTCAAGGATTGGTTGGGTACGTCTAGTCACAGCTATGGCAGATGCCACATGTCTTCTGCTTCAGGGAAGTGAGCTAAGCTCTCTGGATGGCCTCACTCTGTGCCCTGCGCTGTGGCTGATTGCTCAGCTCTCCCTCTTAGCCTCTGGGGTGTGCCTGCAGAACAGCAAGGTGCCAATGTGGTCTCGTCATTTTATGTCTCGGGCTCCTTAGCAACCAGTCAACCCACGGCCTGCTGAGGACATGCGTGATGCAAGTCCACGTCCCCTGCCCCACTCCTTTCCTCCTACCCATTCCTCAGTTGCCATGTTGTCCCAGTCTTTCCCAATGGGAGGGGTACTGTTTTCATATAACTATATCCAATATTTTCATATGTACCAGAGTTTCTCCACAGAAGCTCTTAGTCAGACCAAGCCATATGAATTAGATCTCATTGAAATAATGGGGATTTCCTATTCTGAAAACATGTGCTTAAAGCTTCCTTATTTAGTTTCTTACACCTGATTTTTTTTTTTTTTGAACCTGCTACTTTACTTGCTTCTGATGGTTTAAAGAAAATTTTGTTTTCCTTTTTTTTTCTTTTCATTCTGGATGGTCCTTAGAATATTTATACAATTCAAAGAAGACTGGTGGCTTTGCAAAGTAAGTATTCTGTTTCTGCTTTAGCTAATAGGACAAACTAGGTTGCAGAAAGGGAATGTTGTCAGTATGCAGACTGCTCCACCACATACTTTGACTTTCTCAAGTTAATAGGAAGCATTGCAATAATAAAGCCTGCTACTTACCATTAGTTAGTAAGCAAAAATGAGTATAACTGTCAGTTCATTGCATTAGGGAGCATGCAAACTTCAAGTGTGGGTTGTCTCGTAAGTGGAAAAATGATTCATTATCAGTCATGTTTAAATAAGTGGTTTTGCATATTTTAGATCTTTCCAGTGGGTTGGTTGATTTGGCTATCTGCTCTTCTGTGTTCCTGTTGTCTGTTTTTTGTTTAACAGCATGGCTTTTACTTTTTTTTTTTGTGCAGCTTCATTGCATATTGGAGACCAGAACGTGCAGGGAACCATAGTGCCCTGGAAGATGAGATCCATGCAGAGGAAAACATTTATATAATAAACTAAGGACTGTATGCATGCTTGCCTTTGTCATCACTGGGACATTGAATAGTTTGCAAAATGTTAGCTGCTCCCTCTGCTCAGCAGCTAAACGTGACTGGACTACTGAAGCTTTATTCACATCATTCTAATAAAACAAATAAAAGCTACAGTTCTAATTAAAAACTTTATCAGCCTGTTCCAGAAACAGAAACCCTACTGGCTTGAATGGAAATTTCCAGAATCCACTTATCACACCCTAAAGAAAATTACCATTATATTTATTATCTGCTTCAAATTCTCTCTTCCTTTCTGGGAAAAAAGAGGAAGTGCTAGAAAGGCTATTGCTTCACAAGAGGAAAACCACACATGTTTTTTGAAAGTTTGTCTTGACTGTGTATTGTATCTGCTAGCTACAAAAGAGTCCATGCCATCAGAGAGCAGAAGCAGTCTCATAGCTGCTGTGACAAAGATGACACAGGGAAAAACTTGGTAGTATTTCCATATGCATTTAGTTGAATTTTCATTGAAGTCAGGTATACCCAGTCCTGGTAACAGCTCAGTAATGCAATGTACTATTCCTGTCCATCTACAGTCAAATCTGGAGGAGCTATTGATGCTCACGCCCTCATGGGATGTCCTCGGAGCCTACAGGGTCAGTACTTCAATGTGCAGAACATTCACAGCTTGTTTTCAGAGAACTATGGCTAAGTGTGTTTTCCTTTGCAAAATACATCACTTCTTTCTCTGTGGGCCCACCTATGCCCTGAGAAGCCCTCGGGGTAAAGAGTCTCACTTCCAGGCCTCTAGAACAACTGAACAAAAAATAACTACTTTGTGAAGTTAATGAAATTCTTACTTTTCTTAGCTTGTGGAGAAGTCATGGGCACTGTACAAAACATTGGCTGAAAGTTTGCCCTGCCTTTATACCCCTCTAGATACTAGACAACTCTAATGTCTTATGCTGGATTTCTTTGATGGCTTTTAGCTCATAAATTGAGAGTATCTGTGGCCTGGCACCTTTCCTCCTCAGTTAGACATGGCTCTTGGCTTTTATTCTCAGCAACACTAAATTTTGGTTTACTTAAACTAAATAAATGGAGGCAGTCCCATAAGTATGAATCAACACTTTATGCATTGCTGAGCAATAGACACAACACACCCAAATCAGCTTTAAGTGGAAGAATAATTTTCCCCAGTTGTTTTTAAGAATGCATTTTTAAACAAAGGCTGGGGACTTCCTGAAAGAGCAGAAAAGTAGTACAGGCAGGAGAGACACCAACTCTTACCAAATATTGGTCAGTACAAATTTTGCCCTGAAGCTCATCCTGAGCACCAATGTGGACTACCTAAAGCAGACACTGCTGCCACGGGGAAGACTCACAGACTTACCGCAAACTTTCTATCATTGAGTTTGTCATTTTTGAGGGAGTCATGTGAAGAACAAAGCTGTCTTATACAATGAGGCATAAAGGACCAATAATAAAATCAGTAGGTATTTATGTTAACAGCTGAGATACTCGAGGGCATGGTCTGGTTGTGCTGGGGGAGCTGGGGTCAGTGGAGCAATTACCCCTACTTCCCCCGGCTGGTAGAGATGGGAGGGCTTGAGCTGGCTGGGGAGGGGAGTGTTTTCCCCCAGGAGTCCTGGAGAGCCTACCTAAGGTGGGATATTGCAGGTGAGTTGTGTTTGCAAAGACCCAAAAAGGAGGGAAAGTCCTGTTGAAGAAGGAAGAAATGGAAAGCAAGTTGGGATAGGTGACCGTGGTGTGCTTTTTATTTTCTCTTGTGCTGTGCGTTGTCTTGGGGCTGTCTGTTGGAACAGGCCTAAAAGGTTGAAAATGCAGAGGTGAATTCATGGTTGACTGGAGACCTCAGTGTGAGAGCACAGATATTAGGTGACTACTGATTCCTGGGCCAGGAAAAGCAATGGAGGAAACCAGCTCTGCCATTTTCTGTCTTCATGTCATGTGTTGCTTTGTGTAAGAAGGTACTGAAACTAGAAAGGACCTGCTGGTGTTAGACTGTGTTTTTGTATTTGACTATTAGTAACAATTACTAAACTAAAATTACTGATCATACTGCAGACGTTGCTTCCCTTCTGCCTGACTGAGCATGTTGCTGCTGTGGGCTCTAGCCCATGACTGGAGCTGGAGGAAGTCTGTTCTGATCTCTAAACTAGATCTCAGAAAACATCTTCAGCAATTTCTGCTTTCTGCAATTTTACCAAATCAATCTCTGCTGGGATCAGAGTTAGACAAGTGTGGGGTTTCCAAATTTATCTGATTCTAACCATTCATGCTCTAAAGGAGTTTAGGGACCATTCTTAAGACTGCTAATCATGAAAACTACTTCCCCATAAGGATTTTTTTTCTCAATGTTACAGACTAATTCTTATATCAGCAAGTTTTCCATGTAAAATAAAGTTCTAGAATATCTGATAACCAAAATCTTCATTAAAGTTTCCTTTCTGCTGTGCAGTTACTTGGTAAACAGACTTCGCAAAGGCTGTGCAGAGCAAGAACTTCACCTTGGATATGCAGTATAATACATATAAATACATGTAGGTAGAAGCTCCCTGTGCTTTTTCATTACTTCTGCTCGTGTCAGTGGATCTTGGAACAGGCATTTCAAAATGAGCCACAAAGATGAGCAGGCAGCACTTGGAGCCTGTTCCCCTATTAAGAGATTATCCAGCTGCACACAAATTGGCAGCACATTGAGCACAGTAAGGCTGATGGGCTGCAAACTGTTTTTTTTGAGAAAGCTCTCTGCCTTTTCTGCCTGCAAGACGCCACTAGATAGCAGTACAGAAGCAGAAAGCAAGGCACATTTTTCTGGTTCTTCCCAGCACACTTGGATTTTGGGTGGCCTTTTTCAATTCACTCTGCTGCATTTAGCCCAGTGTTGCTAAAGAAACAAAGCTGACATGATGCTGTGTTCATCGTCGTCCTTCCCTGGTCACCTGCCACATACTGACCAATTCTGATTTGACAAGCTTCATGGAAATTGGTAGCTGCATAGAACTCCAAATTTGTGCCCCAGGTGGGATTCAGCTGCTCCCTGCACTGGCATCAGCTGGGTATGGGCTCACAGCCACTGCTTAATGGTGAGTGACAGCAGACAAAGGAGAAACTGGGATCATTGCAGGGAAAAAGTCTCCAGGATATTGGACACATCAGGTTTCATTAGTTCTGTTCACAGAACAGCTGGGACTGTGTGTACTTGGCATTGTATGAACTGTACCTGGTAGAATATAGTAAATTAGATATTTTACCGATTGCTGGTTGACCTGCCTTATAATGTTGACAATAAGACATGGCTGTATTGTTGTGTCTATCCCCACTGGCTGCTGTTTATGCTGCACTGAAGCATATGAAGGTACAGATCAGCATTCCGGCAATATTTTGGTTCAGAATAAACTCAGAATCGTTCTCTGAGCATCACACTGCTTGAATCTGTCACCAAGTTGGCTACAGCAGCATTAGTTGGCTACATGCTGGTGAAAGAAACCAGGCATCCTGGCTTTGCTGGAGCCTAGTCTATTTGGGATCTACTTCTTGCCACTGTAAAATAGTGGTGGTGTGATGGATGAGGGTGCTAATGATAAGTAGCCTCCTACTCCAATGGAGTACCAAGTCCAATAGGACAGCAAGCACAAGAGTCCTTCTCTGATGCTGGGGTGGGGGTGGGGGCAGATATCAGACAACTAATCCCTCTCCAGCCTTCCTGTGCTACTCAACATTTTGTAGACCTGTTCATGGTGCCCCTTAGGTTATTTGTTTTCCAGGCTAACTCATCTTGGACTACCCATCTAATCTTCCTGTGGAAGTTCTTCCATACTTTCCACCATTCTTTTTGCTCTTCTGGGACCCTTTCTGGATCTAAGATATGCTTTTGAGGGGACTAGAACTATACATAGAATCCAAGGTAGATTTGTACAGTGGTGTAATGCTGTCTTCTGCTTTGTTTTCTATGGCTTTACTAATAACTTCTAAAATTTGATTTGCTTTTTTCGATGCTACCAAGCAGAGGAATGATATTTTCATGGGCTTGACTACTCATGACAAGCCCAAAATCTCATTCCTGAGGGGGTAATGTCTGGTTAAAGCCTATCATTTAATCATTTGAACTTGGAATTGCTCTCCTGTTTGTGCCATGCTACATTTATTTGCACAGAATGTCTATCTGCAGTTCTTCATTCCTGACCTTAATGCCCTGAATTACTTTTGCTTTATTACTCATCTTTTCCAGAGAAGAACTTCCAGAGAACTTCTTTATCAATTGGTCAGAAAGTAAAAAAAGTCAGAAAGAGTAAAAAAATGTTTCTTGGAGATGGTGTTGCAGATCTTTGGGAAGGACATTGTTGTGGCGAGAAAACATTTGTGAGAGTTCCTCCAAGGCTGTCTTTGCAAATAGAAAATATTAAGCTGGGGGAAAGAAAGAGAGGGGTCTTCAAGCAGAAGGCAGAATCAGAGGAAATAAAGGGATTAAGAAAATGTAAGCGAAGACAAAGTCAGAGGTGGAGACTGAGCCAAATGTTTAAGAGTGTAAGAGGACAGAGCTTGTTCTTGCTGCTCAAGCACTGCAGACTGGTAATGGGCCTTAAGAGTTCCATGGGAAGGCAAAACAAATAGTATATTGAAATCTCTGGTGGTAGTACTATGCTGAGTGTCTTGGAAGAGGAAAGGAGAATAGGATAGAATGGGATAGGATAGAATAGTTCAGTTGGAAGGGACCTACAGTGATCATCTAGTCCAACTGCCTGACCAACGGGCTGACCAAAAGTTAAAGCATGTTATTAAGGGCATTGTCCAAATGCCTCTTAAACACTGACAGGCTTGGGGCATCGACCACCTCTCTAGGAAGCCTGTTCCAGTGTTTGACCAGCCTCTTGTTAAAGAAATGCTTCCCAATGTCCAGCCTAAACCTCCCCTGGTGCATCTTTGAACCATTCCTGCATGTGCTATCACTGGATCCCAGGGAGAAGAGATCAGCACCTCCCTCTCCATGTCCCCTCTTCAGAAAGCTGTAGAGAGCAATGAGGTTGCCCCTCAGCCTCCTTTTCTCCAAACTAGACAAACCCACGGTCCTCAGCCGCTCATCATTGGACATACTTTCCAGCCCTTTCACCAGCTTTGTTGGCCTCCTGTGAATGCATTCAAGGACCTTAGCACCCCTCTTAAATTGCGGGGCCCAGAACTGCACACAATACTCAAAGTGAGGCCGCACCATTGCTAAATACAGCAGGAGAATCACCTTTGACTGGTTTCTGTCCGGAAGCATAGGAAAGAAGTGGTTGCGGTACATAAAATCTGGAAATGGAGAAATGAGACTTCAGTGGAGCTCACTCAGCGTCTCTAAAAAGTCTAAGATCTAGTTTCCTCTCCTTCCACTCGCTGCCCCGGAGTCTCCGTCAGCTAAAATGTCCCATTTTGTGCTGTTTCACTGGATTATGATACAGATCTTTATAGGTGAGTCTTCACCTGCTTTTTGTGTGCTTGCTCAGAAAACAAAAATTTTGTAAAATTAAAAAGTTCCACTTGTTTTGTGAAAACAAAACAGTGAAAAAGGTCATAATTGTATACAGAACTTCAGAAGTTTTCTTAACTTACTGAGTTAATACTGATAGAGTTGTTTTTTTTTTTTTTCTTTTTAGAAGTGTTTGTGGTTTCCTCTGTGTATAGGCTCAGTTAGCTCTCCCATCCCCCCAAATTATCTAATTTCTTTACTAGTGTTAAACGTGTACTGCTGGCTTTGCTTTTTCATCTGTCTCTCCACTACACTGCAGTGCTGATGCAGCGCAAGCTAGGGAATTGAAATACTGAAGAGTAATGAATGTATATACATGATAAAAAAAGGATTTTCTGAAACTCTGAGGGCTGTCTGCTGCTATGAACTGACTATGGGAAAGCATGGCTGGAGATTCCTCTCTTTTTACTCCCAAGTGTTCAGTTCACCCATCTAAAATCTGAATCCTAAAAAAGATAGAAGTTAAAGAAGAGTAATTTGGGAGGCTGCATCTTGTAAACATGGTTGGTATCGGCTATATTTCTGCATGTGCATTTAGACATCAGCAATGCAATTTCTGAATTGTCTGAGGTGGCTCAGGAATGTGAATGAGTTCACCCACTTTCACTGGGGCATGAGCTCCTAATGGGAGTTGTGCTTTTGAATCACATAGGCTTTTCATGAAATTCTGTCTCAGATGACTAAATATTAATTGGCTAACCTCTGCCAGGATGAAATATTACATATAACATCTACAGCAACTGCAGTGTTCTTAAATTGATCTGAAAAGTAGTGGAAAAGTTTGGTCAGTGGTGGGATACACTGAGCGGCAAGAGGTGAACCATGTCCCTTTGAGGCAAGGTAGCACAACCTCCACGGTGTCTTCTGCACAAGTGGAGCTTTGCTGGCACTTTGCTGTAGCCCAGGGAATTCCATAATATTTTTTGTCTTTTGCCAGTCTCAGCAGAAGAAACGGGAAGGCTTTTTCCTTGCCATATCTTCAGCCTCAAAATAGATTGGAGGTACTTGCCTCCATTTGGCCTTATTTTCAAAAATTTTCTTATATGCAGAGCTACTGAAGGGTGAGAATGGCTTTTTGTTACCTTCTCTTTAACTCAGCTCAGTGCTGAGAATGGGTAGTCTTGAGACTCAGGAAACCAGCAGAGTGGGCAGTTAAATGCTTCTTTTCTGTTTCTCAGCCATTTTCTCTGCAATTTCATCAGTACAGAAGCTTCAAGAAGAAATAAAAAAGAAAATAGGGTTGATGGGGAAAAGATGCCAAGTATTTTCTACAAAGAAGGAAAATTATTCTGGAAATAGATCAAGAAAAAAAAAATTATTTTTCAACCAGCTGTCTTAGCTGGAGGATGTATGTCTTTGTCCATCCAATGACCAGTCTATGGGAGAGAAGACCACTACAACAGCAACTATACTGGAGTTAGTGCATAATACCAGCTGTCACTGAGGGTTTGTTCAAGAGAGACTATACATAAATATATGCATATCTGTATGATCTGCACAATTATGAATACCCCCTTTCTATTTTGGAAGATATATTAAACATCTGGAGTCCATTTCTCTCTCACTTGGATCAAGGAATTAGAGTGCCAAACCCCACTGACTTCAGTGGGACTACCCAGGCATAGCTGATGCTCAGGGTGCTATGGGTAAAGTCTGGATGCCTAGGAGGGTCACTGCCATGGACAAGGGTAGGATTCCTCTCACAGTAAGACTAGGGTGTCACAATATAACAGTCTTAGGAACCTCTTAATTTCAAAAACATGTTCATTCAGTCCTATTTACTATTTCTTTTGGAAAATTTGTCTGTGGAAGAGGCTGCAACTGAGAAGAAAGTTATTTAGTCCTTGCAGAGTTTCATACTGTTGAATCAAGGCTGTTGTGGTATTGAAGTTTTCCATACCAACCCAAAGCATTCTATGATTCTATGAACCTGCAGTGCAGGCAGATGTTAGCAACATTAGCTTCATGTAAATTAAGAGGATCTGAAACCGCAAAACCTGTAACTTTCTAGCACCAATACTACTGGGAAACTGCTCTGGAGACTCTCTGGTGCCTTGTGTCTTCCCTCTTCTTTTTATTTATTTATTTAATAAGTTCAGAGCTCTGCTTCTTTCGAAGAGAAGAGCAGGCAAATTTTCATTTGTTAAAGGGTTGTTTAATGAAGCTGCTTTTGTGCTGTGCAGGACTGGGATGAAATAAGAACAGAAGATGAGCCCATTTCTCCTCAAGCAGCAGCGACCTTAACTCCAGGAACAGTTCAAGCTGTTCTTGATTTTGGACACATCTTTGTTGGGGTGACTTGAAAATATGTGTTACCCTGCTCAGTGGTTAATCCCCTGGTCCCCTAGGGATACTTTCAAGGTCAGCTGCATGAACTGTTTTCTGTCATCACAGAAAGAGGCAGTTTTCTTTGTTTTGCTGTAACAAGGCAAATGAACCTACCCTTTCCAAGGACTAAACCAAGCAGCCATCTTGCAAAGCCTTATCCTGTATTCAGGAATTCATTTTTTGGCACATCCTACCTTCACTTCACTGCAAAAGCTTCTGCCCTTCATATCACATTGCATGTTGTTTTGTCTGCCTCTACTCTTTTAGCATTTGGAGCTGTGGAAACCTGAACGAGTTGGCTTATCTTGCCAATGGGATAAGCAATAATGAAGCTGAAATGTCATCCCAATAACAAGTCATGAGGCAGCCTGCCACACACTAAAACCTCACCTGGGGAATAGTCCATTAAAGACAAAACAAGAGAGACATGGACACAGTTGGAAGCATCTGTTTGCTATCTGGGAGTCATGCCAAAAAGAAAAGGCATTCAAACAGCTGGCAAAATAGAAATGTTTGGCAAAGCAGGGCCAAAGCTGGTGATAATAGCAGCAACTGCTGTAAGTCCTCTTTGGGGTAAGCAAGCTGGCCATGAGACATCAGATCTGTGGGATGATCCTCTTGCTGCAGCAGAGGACTAGGTCTGGATGCTCCCCAGGTCCCTCAGCTCCTGCTCCACTGTATGTAAATGATAACATGAGAGTAAAAGGCAACAAGGTAGGAGGACCGACACAGACTAGATGAATGTAAACCAGAAAGGATTTGTTCCTGTATGGGAACCTTTTTTGTATAGTGCATTCCATGAAGAAGAAATCCCTTTTAGGGCAATCTGGGAACTGCATAGGCAGTTAACAGGGAACAATATGTAGCAAAGGTTCAAACCAGATGCTGAGGTGGGTATCAGCTGTAATCACCAAGTAAAGCTGTTCATTAAGAGTGAGAGCACAAGGAAAGCATGCATATGCTCTTTTTAACATCAGTTTAATGCTAGCAGTTAAACCTTCTGTGTACAGAGTGCTCTGCAAGGTAAGTGGGATAGTCGGCAGGGCTTGCTCAGAAACAGAAAAAGCAGTGCACTTTCTGAGAACAGGTTCCCATAGACAGATCCAACTGCTCTGCCAGCTTAATTAGGCCCTAATTCCACACATGAATAGGTATTTTGGACCCTGCTATTGAGACTGTCAGTGAAAGGCAACTATGACAGCATTTCCTGTTTGAAGGAGATGAGGGTGGACTGAGAAAACCGGATGTATTTCACACCAGGTTTCTGAACAACTTTCAAACAGTCTCTTAGGAAAAGGGATGGGAGCAGAGTTCCATTTGCACAGGTCTAGTCTGTGCTCAGGCTGCCAGCGACAGACCTCAGCTTCTCTCACCACGTGTTTGATGTGAGTGATGTATTTCGTGAGCAGTCCTCCAGCAGCTGGCCGGGGTAAGCGCATGGACCCCTCCAGCAGCAAGCCGATGCCTGTGGGCTCCTGGCTGTTGCCCATAGTGCCCCGGGCCATTAGCTGCCGCAGCTCCAGGGAAAAGCTTGGAGGATCAGTAACTGTGGCCTGCCTGCAGGCAGGAGTGTTTCTTTTCCTGCCTCATTGTGTTGCATAGGTAGAGTCAAGCGTCCGAGACTGCCAACACTCATCTTTCCTTGTTCTTCCTTGACAGTGCACACCGCATCCGAAGCTGTTGTTAGAGGAGTAATAGGACAACCTGTTAAGTTGCCTTGCTTCTATCAGGTGGCACGACTTAAGGACATCTCTGATATGTGCTGGGGCAGAGGCCCGTGCCCTAATTCAAAGTGCAACAACAAAATTTTGCACACCACTGGGAATAGGGTGACGTTCAGAACATCTCAGAGATATAGTCTCCAGGGCTATATTTCCTATGGAGATGTGTCTCTCACGATTGGGAAAGTGAAGGCAGAAGATGCAGGTACATACTGCTGCCGCATAGAGATCCCGGGTTGGTTCAATGACATCAAACAGAACATGCGGCTGGAGGTGGTCAGAGGTGAGTTTGGGGACCTTCATGATACAGCCATCAGGGAGAAATCTCTCACTGGACAGGAGTTTAAAATTGGAGTTTATGTGTGCTTTTTTTGTTTGTTTGTTTGTTTGTTTTGGGAAAAAGTGTTTTTCCTAAATTACATAAATTTTAAAGGGAGTTCTGCAACCAGTTGCCAATTTGAATTACGTTCAATAAGCAGTTTTGGTGAGAAAATAGTAACTTTTATCCTTTTTTTGCCTTTAAAATTAAATATTTAATTTCTCATTGTGTAGCTATATTTGACATTTTTAAAGATGATGGAATTAAAAAAGGGATTTATCATTTGAAGAGCCCTTGGAATGAAACTCAGTTTTTCATTGGGGGTTCACCCCAACACCAAAAAGGCTTTCATTTGCTTCATGTCATAAGGAGACCCACGTGTTTGGAAATTTTGTCTCAGAGTCCTGAAGGTCTTTTTCCCCTTCCTATTATTTTGCTGAGCTGCAGGGTAAAGTAAGGGTCTTACAAAGCCGAGAAGAGGCTGAAACGCATTGCAAAGCACAGAAAAAAAGATGGTACCCACCCTCCACACTGCAGAAAGACAAACAGGGTGTTCAAGAGTCCAATTGGTGCTGATATACACAGCACTCTTGTATGCCTGCTGTAAGCGATGTAACAGGACAGTGGGGGAAAAATGCTGCAATCCCATGTCTATCACTGAGTTTCAGGGCAACAGGGTTAATAAAAAAGGACCAGTTGAAAAGATTAGCAAGAAGCTTGCAGCTGAAAATTGAGATATTTTATTTATTTTATTTTTATGAGGACATTGAAAAGCAAAATTACAAAGTTCTCAAGTTTTTCATTTCTGTAAGAGGGTTAAGGAGGGGGTTTTTGAGATCTACCAAAAAAAAAAAAAAATCAGATCTGTAAATCTGGGAATTGGTCTGGCTGGGGCATGTTTTCTGCTAATTAAATAACCTTTTAAAATAGTGACTCACCCACCTTCATTCTCAGTATTCTAGTAGATAAATAATTTTCATTCATTTCTGGGTTGGCTTTCCTCAGGGTTGGTTGTGAATGCTCTGATCTATCTTTTCTCTTGGCTATGTTTTTTCCATGCAGCCCCTCCAGTGATGGCAACCACCACGAGAAGGGCTCCCATTCCCCCCAAAAGTTTTAGAAAAACAACTTTTGCTCCCCAAGCAACCTCTGATCATCAAACAACAGCAGAGACTGCTGTCCTCCTGACAACCACCATCCCCCCAGCAACAATTGCAACCACCGATCATCAAGCAACAACAGAGACTGCTCTCCTCCTGACAACCACCATCCCCCCAGCAACAACTGCAATGACCGAGTTTCCAGCAGTAATTACACTGGAGACCATTGCTCCCCCAACATTTTCTGTGACAGCAAATGATATTTTTCCAGCAGCTCTGGTGACAACCAGTGCTCCCCCAGATTTTCCAACTGGTTTCCAAGCAGCTGACATGAGGACTGAAGATGACGACGTGTTCTGCTCTGCAGAGTCTGTGCCTCTTCCTGGAGGTGCAAAGGGTAACCAGCACTAATCCTTTCTTCTTTCTGTGTAGCAGAGATGGTCTGTGTTAGCCTGACTCTGGCATCGTAGAGACTTTCCAGGTACTTATATTAGTATCTGGGAAGTTTTCTCTGAGATGCCTAGAGGTACGTCTCAGTAGGCTTAAGGAAACACAGGTCAAATGTTGTGGATGATGACAAACTGGGGTGAATGGCCAAGATAGCAGAGGGTCAGGCTTGCATTCAGAGGAGTTTCAACAGGCTGGAGAAATAATGTAACAGAAACCTCATGAAGTACGACAGAAATAAATGCAAAGTCCTGCACCTGGGATGGAGTAAGAGAGATTCACTCAACTATGCACTAATTTTTTTCTTGATTTGGGAAAGACAGTTGAAATGGTCTGTCAAAAAGTTTAGTTTAGAGCATGTTCTGCTTGAGCAATGAAGTCAGTGAGAATTCAAAACATGCTTAAAATTGAGTACTCACATTGTCGTCCCACAAGAAGGCTGCTGTTATTAATATTTAGCTGATCGGAATGACCTATTACCGTGTTAACAATTCGTAGGTTTCTACTTTATCCACAACAGTGACTTCTTTTCCACAGATTGATGTCTGCGCACAAGACTGTTTTTTGTACATTTTTTGGGTCTTCTATCACTTTAAGTTCTTTCTGACCTGAACCTCTGAGGACAGCTTTTCTGTATCATCTCTTGTCTTCCAGCCATAACAACGTGTCCCAGTTAAACTTGGCAACAATTAATTGCATCCACAGCTGAACACTTAAAACATCTCACCACTGGCCATGCTAGTAAAGTACATCAGTTATCTGGGTAGGATGAACTGCAGACATGAAAAAACGAGGTTCAGATTTTCACCTCTTAGTTGCAGAACTGCGCAAGTAATTTTGAATGCCATATGAAGACCCTCCTAATCTGTGATCTTTATAAGCATTACTTTTTACTTTGTTTCAGTGACTATCGAATTCCCAAGTACACTTCTGACCGCAGAGGGAACTAAAAGTGCTCACACTTCTCTCATGGTGGAAGACGTGCCAACTGCAGGTGAGTAGGATAACATTGCAAGGTCAGAAGTTGTGTGTTCAGAGAAATGAAGAAATTGTCATAAACAAAAATATTGACTATTCTTAAGAGCGTACCAAACATGCATTGATAGCTGTTCATTGCATCTGGAAGTAAGAGGTATCTGGGGTCCACACAGAAATTGTTTGAAATCAGGATGTAACAACAGCTGAGAAAAACGTTATTAAGCCTCCAAAGGAAGTAGATTTTGAGTCACTCGCTACTGTCAGGTATCTCAGGTCTGAGAGAAGTTAAGAACTGGTCTTTGTCACAATCCAAGCTGAATTCTCAGATATCCGATTTGTCATCACTGTGAGTTCATTGATCTTTCCATTTTAAAACCTCCCTGAGCTTTGAACCTCACTGAATATATTCAGCCAGATGTGGCTGCAGGCTCAGCTTTCCAGTGCTCAACATGTGTCCTTGGTCATGATGGAAAGCAGCAGGCAATTGCCACAACTATCAGTCATTCCTTCAAGAAAAAAGGAACTGGTATACAGAATCATACCATATCTGAGAAATGAACAAACCTACATGAAGTTTGCATTTTATGTGTCTCAGTCAAGTATAAAAGTAGAATGGCTCAAGTTATTCAGGTGTGATAGTCTGCCCACCAGATGCCCTCAAATTAGGACTTAAGAAAAGGAAAGCTAAAATTCGAGAATATGTCATATTTGGCTGTTAAGAGAGTCCTTTTAGTTTCAGCTAGTGCCAAAAATCTCTTCATTCCCAAACCCACAGTATTTAGGTTTTTGCAGGTCTTCTTTTGCTAGACCTAGAGACTTACAGCAGAAATAGAGTTTAGGAAACTGCTCCTTAATGCCCCTGGAGAGGGCTCACAGAGGAGACTAAACTGGCCTCTTGAGCATTTGTGAGCAGTTCTCACCCCTGTCTCACCTGTCATCTTTCTGATATAGTTCTGCATAATGCCTATATTCTGCCATTGTAAATAGGAAGTTTTGCAAAGGGTCTTACCTCTGGGGGCGGCTTAAGTTGTGACTGTGGCCTAGAAAGAGCCACCACAAAAGCCATAACAGCAGAAAATGTACCATTCTTACGTGAGTCATGTACACTCCCACCCATGCAAAAACTTGTGTCATGCTATTTCCGAGAGTCAAACTGTCATAATGTGTGAAAATGCTGCAGCATAATTGAGTGCGAGTGCTGTCTAGTAAGAGCCATAAGCCAAGTTAAGGTCTTGACTCAGTCTCCTTTTACTCTGTGCAATAATACACTAAATGGACCAACTTCAGCATTATTGTAATGTAAGGGAAGGCTAATTTGTTGCTGAACTCTGTATTGATGGTAGCACAGTGGCTGGGAGAGAAACCCACAGCTGAGGGAGCCCTCCATCTCCAACCACAATTCTTGCCAGATAGGTTGGGTTTGCTGGGGTGGTTGGTTCTTGCTGACCAGGCTCTGATTTAGTTTATCTTTTGTCTTTGCCTGCTTTCCCCCAGCAACAACCCTGCCAATGCCAACCACGCTCCAGAACCCGAAGAGAACCCTTGCTCATTCAGGTATGGAAAGTAAGCAGCAATAGTTGCTCCCATCAGCCAGGCTGCAGCATGCTACCAGAAAGTTTAATTTTGACTTGCGGGACGTGCATGTCAGAGTGAGATATGCACTTCTTGTGTATTTGGGGGTAGTTCTGCTGAGCTACAGTTCTCTTCTCTTCTCTGAGAGGGGAAGAGGGATATCATAAAACATACATATGGCAAAATGCAATGTTCATGTATCCCTGGGATTTTTAGCACTTGCTAGGGTTTTATTACCTATAGTTGTTTAGCTGTAGTGCTTATTAGCCATAATCTCTTTTCTACTTCAGTGCAAATTTCCATCTGCAGTTGCATGCATATGAGCTGCCTGTGCCCTGTCCATGTCTTTGATAAAATGCAAGCATGTTATTTGGTACATGGAGAGAAATCAACTCACCTTTCATAGAGAACTGACCAGAACTGAGAAATTTGGGGGAGATCAGGTTATTCAGTGAATACTCTGAAAAGTTGGGAAAAAAAAGGAAAAAAGCAATTTTTTTTCTAATGGGATTATTTGTGACCACCTGATCACCCCCATCACCATGTGACGTTCTGGGTGTCTCATGCATATAAAGTTTCCTTTGGCTGTGGTCTTGGGCACTGCAAGCACATTACATATACATGCCTCATCAAATGACTCATCTGGTCCCTGGTACATTTTTCTCAGAAGGAGTCTCCATAGTTGTTCTCTTGTCAGACCTTTGAAAGCACTACTCATCACAGTCTTTCTATATATTAGAGCATGACCTAAGGCATAGGAGCTTTCCTGTCATAAGATGTAAGCTGAAGTTTTGATTCACTAAGCTGTGACTCCTCAGTTTTTAAGATGCTGCTAAATATTGGGTGCTTCTTGTGACAGATCAAGTGCTCCAAATACTTAAATACTTCAGTACTTTGTAGCATGAGGTCATGATGAGCCAAGGTGCAAACTTCATTCAAAAATGAATCTAGATTAACTTTTTGTGACTTGAAATTCACTAGTAAAAGAGATTAGGATCATAGGATAACAGCAGAAAAGTTTGCTGCAAGAGTTCTTGAGCATTCAATTAGTTCATCCCTATTTCCAAAGCTTAGAAAACTAGAATTGAATTATTCTTAATATCTTTGGATAGAAAAAAAATGCATCATCTTCATAGATCTTTCTTAAATCTGTGGTAAGTTATCTGAATGTAAAGATGTTTCCTGTGGTTTTCAGTATTAATGCAGCTTTCAAAAATTGCAATCATACGTAATTCTGACCACAATTAAACTGAGGCAGATTCTCCACTTAGACTTGTACCTTGTTTACTACCTCTGCTCTCTACAACATCTTGTCATGCTTACAGAAGTGAAAACTCCTTCACAGCACTCAAGTTTCTACTGTCTTGCTTCATGGGCGATCCCTGGGAAGCCTTCTCTTTCCTTGATGAAGACTGACATTTCCCAATGACTGCCTGATACACCATTTGTGGCGGAAACAGATTGTTCCCTTTTGGTTGCAAGGTGCTTTATTTATCACATTCAGGGTCAGATTTTGCCCTCCTCATTCCCTGAGAATTCATTACTCCTTGACTAAAGCAGTGACAACCACAGTGGCCCTCACTCATTTAGGTGATTGTGCCAGTAATAATTTCAATCTCTTTTTTTTTAGGGATTTCAACAAGTTCAGACGGCAATACTGAGAAACATAGTGATAACAGAGATAAGGTAAAACTTCCTCTAATTTTCAAGAGCATTAACTAGAAGCCAGAAGGACAGCAGGACATGCTAGTGTTTTTCAGTGTATTCATACTAAAAGGATACTGTTTGCAAACAGTAGCTTGAACTTTTATTTAGAAGCTCAGGAACCATCTATTCATCTTTCCAGTGGATAGTGTCAAAGCCTGTGACCATCCCATCTGCCTTGGACAGTTCAGACAAAATCTCATCCCCTGATACTCGTGCAAGAGATGCTGAGGTAGCATCCTCAGGGTGTGACCAGGCAAAAGGCAACTTAGGATGGTTGTTACACTTCTCTGTCTCTAATTAAGAGAAGGATGAGGGTGACTAAGCTCCTACTTTAGACACCTTATTAAGAAGTTCATGTTAATCGGGATGAATCTAGGCTCAAATGCTTCAGAAGAAGATTTATTAAATACTGAACAGGTAACTCATCTTGTTTATCATGATCAACGTTATGTGTCTTCTCCATACTTTGTACAGGCAAGCTCAGAAAAGCATTGCAAACTCCAGCCCAGTGCAGACATTTCAGAGCTCTTAGCCACTAGGGCAACCCAATCCTGCATGAATAGGTCTGAAGTAAATGTGCTTCTAAAGCCTTTTCAGTTTTTCTATTCTCCCTTCCAGTTTTCCAGCTATGTCATTCTCATCGCCTGTCTCACAGGGGTGTCCATTCTTTTTATATTGATGCTCTCGTTGTGGTTTTGGAAAAGTGAGTATCCCTAAGCACATAATTGATTAATGTTTCTAATGCTGGCCTAGTGCAGATGTACTTCTGTATGTCTGGTTAATATTCTGGTAAATCTGCTGTGGCCCCTGTGACAGGACTGTTCATTTTATGGGGGTTGCTGTCCTTACTCCAGGGCTGTGTCACACAAGGAGACCAGGGAGCATGAGTTGGTGGGGATGCAGCGGGAGGAAGGCTGTGCAAAGAACTTGTTCACTTACTTGTTGCAGGTCTGGCTCATCTTGTTGGCTCTTGCTTTATGGTAAAGTGGTCCCGTAGCTTCCTGGAATTGCTCCTGACAGACATTGGTGTAACTTAAATCAGAATGAGATCCTTTCTTTCCTGCTTAGCCCACAGAAATTTTGCAACTTGCTATCTTTGCTTGTGAATTCATTTGACAGATTCATTAGAATTATAGATTTCTTTTTGCCATTGTGACATTAATATTATTTTGCTTCTAGGTAGACACATGAAGAAGTTTATAACAAAAAGGTAATCCATTTTGTAATTTCCTGTTCAAAGTTCCAATGTAATTTTTCTTAGAGGCAGGAAAGTATTTGCCACTGATTGTAATGGGTCTAGTATTGGCTTGTGGTGCTAACTACCAAAACTGTATTACAAGCAAACTTCAGATAATTTCCCCCCAGAAAATCAGTGGTTCCTGGATACTGCTTCTATGTAGCAATGAACAGACATCCAGAGCACTGGAGAACTTCAGCAGCTGGTTCTTACTGTTATGTAGTGACCCCAGCTTAAGGAAATACCTAATTTGCTTTATTCTTTGATCAAATACCTGGGCATGACCCTGGTGGGGTTGTTTTAAAGAAAAGAAGAGATAAATGGTTACGATGATCAACCGGCAAAATGACTGCTCAGAAAGGGATCAGGGATTTATGGACAGTCCTCCATGGAGTGGTAATTCATGCCAATACACAAAGAATGGTCCCCATGAAGGGTGCTGCACTGCAGCAGTGTGGCAAACGAAGCTTTCCACCACTAGATAACTCTTGCAGCTCTCATGGGACCACTGCACCGTCTCACACACTCCTCGGGTCACACTGATATCTGAGGTCATCACCAAGGAGACTGTTTTGAGGCAGATATGAAATATATATGATGGATCACCCTGTGCGGGTGTAACTGATAAGTTCATGTCTTCTGGCTTATCTTGAAAAAAGGATTTTCTCTAGACAAACCACAGGGTAGTCCAGTGAAGTATCATCCCTTTGCCAAAGACCAAATAGTTTTTCAATGGTAGATGGTCCCCCACTGCATACCCCACCTAGGAGATAAGGACTGGGGGCCAAGGAGGGACTCCCATGGTGATTACCCTACAGCTGTCATTGTAAGATCTGAACTGTGCTTTCCTATCTATTAGAAGAATGCAAGCAAGGTAAATACTTCTCTGGTGTAAAAAGTAGGCATTGCACCATTGAAGTCAGTGGACTGAGTAGCTTCTGGTCTCCATTTTCAATGGGAATTTGCTGATGTTACAAATAAGAAAGGATGCTCTGAAGCAGCAATGTGCTTTTGCCCCATCCATAGTGATCTGTGCTTCTCACTACAGTCTTGGACCAGCAGAAGACCTGGAAAAAGTTTTCAGTGGTGCTGAAGGAGAAAACAACATTTTTTCCCTGTGAAGAGCTCCTACATCATCTGTAGATGCCATGAAAAATAAAAAGGGCCTGTTTCATGCTGCACTGAGAGATACTTATGAGCCCTCAAAATATCAATGGGTGTAAACCAAAGGCCAAAGCTTCAACTATGAAAATTTAAAATCTTTGTGCAAATTTTGCCATGTCACCTTTAAAACTCATTGCATAAAGAAGCTTCTTTGAGAAGGTGCTTTATGCATTATTCATAGGTGGTTTTGGTATCTGCCTTCTTAGTAATACCATGTTACACAATTGAATTTGTTTTTCTCCATTTTTACTAATGCTTTTCCTTGAATCCAACTTATACTGTGAGGAACAGAAGAGAAAAGAAATAGCATGGAGTGCTGCCTAACTTCAAATTGCCAAAAAAAAAAAAAAGGAAAAAAAATCAGCAAATACAGTTCTTATTGCTTTTATATAATGAAGAGAAAAATTAAGCCACAAGAATGCTGTGTGTATAAATCAAAAATGTAGATGACTTAAAGAGTACCAACGCTGCTTGTGATTCAGCATGTTTGAATGACCCTTGGAGACTATGTTAATAAAATCTGTAATTTACTGCTAGCAATTGTATTTTTTATGCCACATCCTAAGGCATTTGAACAGGAGTTAGTTATTCCCCAGGTGTTGAAATGACTGGTGTGCTGTCTCAGCTCTCCAAAGAAGTACTGCAGTATTTCCAGAGGTGGGAAAATGCCCAGAAGACCAACCTGCAGGGAAATTTTTCTATCCTGCCCCCACAAACCCCCATACCACTCATTTGTAAATCCATGTCTCCCCCATCAATGTGCATAGGGGATCCCCAGCCATTTGTTTGGACTTGCCTTTTGGGCCTCACGACAATGAGCTGCAAAAACCAGCAGCTCTCATGGTGGAGTCTGCTTGGCTATGCAGACCTGCACCATGCAGCTCCAGGGTGCTTAACTTAGGGCCCCAGCACCCAGTCACAGGGTAGCATTGTGCCATCTGGCTGGGTTTGGTATGGATGAGGCTGGGGCGCCCAGTCCCACCAGTGCTGCCTGGTTGTCCTTTAGAGAAGCTGCAGATGAGAAGCACAATGCAGAGCACAGCTACATCTTGGAAACTTGTCCGTCCCTTCAGGTACCCATGGGATGTGGGTGAAGCCACTTCAGTGTTTCTGAGCAGTATAGGCAAAAATCCTGTGATCTCCATGGAAAGGCTCTGGGGACACTAAAAACAGTGAAGAAGAAGAGATGAAGGGTAGCATTCACCTTCTGTTGCTTCTAGCGGGACAGAAGGGCTGAGGGGGAGAACATTGCTGCTGCTAGAGACAGAAATTGTTCCCCAGTCCTTCTCTGCAACAACAAGCTGTCCTCACATTCCTACCCCATCCACAGGGACACCAGCAAGACCTGTCATCCCTGTTCCCAGGACTTAGATGTGGCAGAGCTGGCAAGCAGGCTGTGGCTGTTTAGCTGCTCAGACATATCCCTGTGTTGTGCTTAGAGCTGACCTTGAGGATGAGGATGGTTTGGACACTGTAGGCTGCATGGGCATGTGTGTGGTTAGCAGAGAGGGGCAGCCTGGCTCTGGGCTGTGGACCTTGGCTTGGCCCTGGGGTGCCTGAGCAGGAGGCAGGGCTGCCAGCAGCACAGAGCAGTCCAGGGAAGTCTGAAATTGTCCCTGTTAGCCTCAAGCCCTGTAAATGCTGCCTTTCATTTGACCATAATGATAGTTCTGCAGCACTAACCTTACCTCTACTCAGCTGGGAAAACGAGCTTTCAGGTGGCTGTGGGGCAGATCAGCTGGGCATGGCAGAGCAAAGCCCATCATTTCACCACACTAATCACACTCTTTATGAGGGTGCTCTTGCTTGTGTTTCAGCTGGGTTAAGATTTAGACTTTAAAGAACAGACTGAGTTGGTGACCAGCCTGGCGGGGTCAGTGCAGTAGGACTGGCCACGGAGGCTGGGGGATCATCTACGGGATATGCTGCAGACCTTTTGTATATGTCACTGGGGTCCTCACCATCTCTGCTGCAGTGACTATGGGAACCACATTGTAGAAAGTTCAAATCCGTGACACTGTTTGTTATATCCACTGCCTGGATTTCACTAGTCCCTGCTATGGCAACTCCAGGCAATGATAATTGAAGTAAAAGCATTTTGTGGGACTAGCGTTTGATCAGAAGAAAACACTGTGTGGTGGATCTGGACTTCCCCACTAGTCATGCTCAGGGGTATGGTGAAACTTTTTGACCTTTTTGACCCTACAGCATCTTCTCACAGGCCATGTGTCAGGGGGAAGGAGGGGAGGTTCCTCTTTGGGGTCCCTCTCAGTCTCGCCCGGGTTCAGCACCCTGCTGCGTGTCCTGGTTTAGCCGCGTTGTGGGAGGCAGAAGAGAGCTCCCAGCCAGAGGATGTGGCCTGCAGGCTCCCAGGTTGGGTTTGTTCAGCTGAGCCCTGTGTCTGTCCCACGCTGGTTAATGTGGCTGCTGCTACCCCAACACACAGCATGGGCTGAGCCTGGGGCCCTGGTGCCCAACACTACTTCTAGGCATGAATGCCACACAAATCTGTAAGGAATAAAAGGGAGGGGGGGAACCTAATCAGTTTTGAAGTACTCCTTTAAAAAAAAAAAAGCGCTTTTTTTTTTTCCCCTTTTCTTTTTCCCCCAAGTAAACCTGCTAATTAAACCAGCAATGTCTTCATTGCAACTTCTGATTGGAAGGGCTGGGCCAATCCTTTTGCTCTTAGTAATTAGGTCTGTACTAATGACTTCTTTAGAGCAGGGCTGGCTCTTGCTGAGGAAGGTTCTAGTACGTTTGCTGTGGTGCTGGCTGGACTTGAAGGTTCTGCTTTGGGGAGCTGCACAAAGGCAGAAGAAATAGGAGCCAACAAAGTGAGTTTGATCTGATCAGTGGTGTGGAAATACAGCCCAGAAATGCTGTAGGGAAGCTGTAAGTGTAACTTATGTTGCTGAGCATTTTTATTTATCTTTTTATTCACCCCAATTACTGAAGCTGAGGTGGCAATGGGTAGCAAGGAATCTGGGACAGTTATATTTAAATTAAAATACATTGAAGTAATTTCTGAGGAACTGACCCTGGCTGTCAGTATGTTCAGTGAAAGGTTAAAGGGAGCCTTTTAAAATGTAACTGGAAGAAAAAGAGATGCTGTTTTCCAAAAGCAACAGGAGCCCCAGAATGCAATTTCTGCCTCTAGTGAAGAAAAACTATATGAAAGCAGCAGGTTTTTAGAAAGAAAAGACTGTCAGAGAGTATGTCACTGGCATCTGGAAATGTTAGCCTTTATTTTTAAGACTTTACCTTGGAAGGCAAAGAAGAAGTGCACTTCGGCAAACATAAAGCACTGCATCCAAGAAAACCCTCTGCTAAGCAGCTTAAACCAATACACAGGGTATAAGTTGCAAAGCCCTACAGCGGCCAGTGCTTCAGACTGGGAAAACTTTGACAAAAAGCAGCCTGGCCCCTGGCAGTGCTGTGAGGCTCATGCTGTTGTGCAGGGGGTGCAGGTTTCCTCGAGAGTTGCTTTGCTACAACTTGTTACCGCCCGTCGCACCCGCTGAAGCAGGTCTCTGCAAAGTCTGCTCACGCGCACCTTCACCCTGCCCTTGCTGGCCTCCTGTGCTTCCCAGAGAGCTGCCAACAAGCAAAGCCCTTTGCTTTAAAACTGCCATGCATTTCCCCAAAACTCCAGTACCCCCAGACCTTGCCTCCTGCCACCTCTCAAATTGCCAAGTGCTAAGACCGGAAATCATCCAGGTTTAACACCTCTCCCTAGTGCTCTGAGCTGCTGAAGTTATTGCAGTGTTTATGGGCTTGCACCGGGAGCCTGTAGCCAGAGCAAAGTGGGTTTTAATTTGTTCAGAGTCCATGTCAAGCCTAAATGGTGTTGTATCTGGGGAGTCTGGCTCTGCTCCATGGAGCAAGGTGGTTAATTAATGAAGGATTTAGCTTTTGGTCCAAGTAATAATTTTCACTGGACCCCAGTACTTTGTGGACAATTGTCTGTATCAAAATGACCGATTAAATTGGGTAAAGGAGGTCTGACGTGAAGAGATAATGACTGAACTACCTGATTAGTATGGAGGAGGTATAGAAAAGCAATTAAAAAGGGAGATCTGAATATACAGGGACATGGGATTGGCTAATGAGAAAACAGGAGGAAATACTGAGGGGAAAAAAAAAAGGGCAAGTGCTGACTTAGGAATACAAATCCTTTAAAGAGAAACGAGAGGAATGAATTAAATATCATTTTGAGATTAATGAGAGACCTCTCTTAATAGACTTTATTGGAGCTGACTGCTCTGATGGTCCCTTTCCATCTCAGCAGCACATTTCATTATGTTTCCAGGTTTGTTTCTTAGCCTTAATGTGCTTTTCTAGGCATTTTTTAAGGTTAATATAAACAAATCTCCGGGTTCCAAAGGTGGAATCTAATTGGAGCTTAAGAAAGAGCAAGCAGAAGGGAAGAATGTGGCTGAGTACATAGGAAATTAGAAATAAGAATAAATAGCATCATGGGACTTGGGGAAAGAACAGAGATAACCGCACAGTGTGAGATGAATGCATGAAAAAGTGGAAAATTTCAGCCTGGCGGAAAGAGGAAATGGGACATGTTGCCACAGACATGACAGCAGATGGCAAGATTGAGCTACAGAGGCAGAGCAGAGAAACAGCTGGAGAGATTAGATGGGGCTGTAAAGGTGATGCAGATTTGCTGCCACCAAGCAGAACAAATGCAGCCTCCTCCAGTCGTGATGGAGGTCCTGGCTGGGAGCTCAGCTCATGGCTGGCTCCAGGGGACACTTTTGGCATGCTTGGCCTGGGCTCTGGCTTATGTGACTTCTAGCAACACAATTTCCTGCAAGTCTCAGTAACACCCTGGTTTTCTTGTGCTCCTGAGGCCATGGTGGCCATGCATTTCTTGGTTTCCTCTTCCCACTGATGCTTAACCCCAGCTGGGAGCAGCATGACTTTGGTTTCTCTTGCTCATTTAAGA